TTCGACCATCACAATATTGAATACAGTTAATGATAATAATAATTAATCAGCTTTGTTTAGTATAAAATGTTTTGTCAGGATTGATAAGAAGCCGCATGCCATACAACAGGTTAGATTTTGTTGTATTTAACCCTTTCAGGGACAGCGGTCATTACAGTGGGCAGTTTATCATGTGATCAGGTTACAGAGTGCACGAAAGGGTTAAGGAATAGATTGCAATTAAAAGAGCCATAAACATTTCCATTTTTGATGAATGCGATGCTTGCTGAGTAATAAGATCATCTGAGCACTGCACTGAGTAGATTGTCCCAGTGGTGTTGCCATATGACTCACGGGATCATGCTGCTATTAAGCCAACACTGTGCTAAAACCACAAAAAAAAAAAAAAAAAAACACCCTCCTTTCTCAGCATTATTGTGCAATCACTGCATCGACATATTGCATCTCTTAATTCCCATTTGTTCGGCCTTTCTATGCGAACTGAAAACTGCTCCAGTTCTGCTACCTTATTTCTTGATTATTGAGGCGTACGTCAGCAGCTCGGCTTCGCCAAGCCGTCCTCCGCGAGGTCATCTCTGTCTGATTATCGCATGCCAATCCCTTTCCAGGGCTTCGTACTTCCTACCCAAACGAGAGTGCGCTATTGGAAATATAAGAGTGAGGGGAAAAAAATAAAATAAACTAAAACGACGTCTGGGCCCCAAAGGAATAAGCGGGTGTTCCGTTTCCATGACGCTGCTCTCCTGAGGAAAAACTGTTCCCACCAAGAAGACTCCCTGAGAACACTGGAAGAGCTATTTTCCCAACACACCGGCCTCCCAGGAAAAACATCAATAACATGATAATAACACGAGGACATGTTTGCATTTTATTGCTAAAGGGCTTTGGGGAGAGAAAAATACAGTCTGTCGAAGTAATTAACAAACCGATACTGCTTACGGAGGAGACATGATCAGCATTCACAACAAAAGATGTGCAACTCCATGTGTAATCATTTGGAATGTGGGTGTGTACATGTTGTGTCTCTTTTATGAAGAAAGACACGCCCACGACTGTGCTGAATAAATGACAACATTACCCTGGGTGAGTTCAACTCCGATATTGCCACTTGCGAACCGACACCTCGATGCGGGGACACTCTACAGTAGGGGCGCCCCACACTTTTTGAACATGTGAGACACTTATAAGTAGAATTGAGTGCAAAGTAACTACAGTGGTACCTATAATTGCGAAATTGGTTCTGGAAGAAATTTCTTCACTCGAAAATGTTGTAAGTCGAGACGCGTTTTCCATGTAAATGCCTTAATCCGTTTCAGACCCCTCCAAAATTTAGACGTTTTATAAAGCATAAAAATGCATCAAAATATGTAACATAGACATGCTACAATTAGATTTTTGCACAATAAATGAGAGTTGTGTATGATGTAAAAAAAACAAAAAACAAAGAATAAAGAATAAAAATGGTGGCCATTTAACTGAGTCGATCGTTTTTTTGCCCTCTTTAATTCATGTTCAACTCTCAGAGGTGTTTTTTACCTGACGTTTTGGAAACGAACTGATCAGAGGACTTTTGTCTGCTTTTAACGATCCTTCGAAAATGTCCAAGGCAAACATCAGCATAGTGAGCGATCGCCCGACTGGTGAACACTTTTTCTGGGGATTCACATTTACGTAAAACTATCGGAACGTCTCATGGTCTGAGGGGCGAATGACAAGTATGCTGCATAGACACACATCTATCTTTTTATCTATCTACACACACAGACACATACGGTCCCTTTTAGGCAATTGGATGCCAGGAAAGTGCTAGGTAATAGCCAATGGCAAAGCAGCTATAAGTATGTTGCATTTAGGAAACTCAGAGCTGTGACTCACAGCCCGTACTGTATTTTTACCTTTCGTATCTTGACGCGTTTCGTAACTTGAAAATTTCGTGTGAAGAGACGTTCCTAAGTAGAGGTACCACTGAACCTCATTTATTTATTGTGCGCACACCTTCTGGTGAAGATTATTCATGTTGGAAAGATACTTGGATTTCATGTTTTTATCAAATAGCCATAAAACGCCACAACACAGTTCCCTCCTTCAACTGGCCAGCAAGCGCCCTGGACAAACCGAGCGGCATGACGCACATGAAGACTCTCTGTAACTTCCAACAATCCAGGCTAAATTGAGCTCCTCGCCGACACACAAAGCTTGTCTTTCAGGCAAGTTGCACCTCGTCTACACTTTGTGTTCCCTTGGAACTAATTACTGTACTACTTTCCTAATTAGCCAGGGCTTCGGCAGCATCTTAGGGTGTTTCAGAACGAGAGGGAAAAAAATGCAATTAGAAAATAATCAACAGATGGCAACATTGTAGTTAAAAAAAAACAGCAACACCAACAACGAAAGAAAAAAGCTACGAGACAGTCAAGGCATATTCATTCAGCGGTGAGGCTGTTTGACAAGGGCAGGTCCTGCTATGAATGACACAAAGGAAATCACTCCCAGATTGAAAGTGCTACTTTTTTTTCTACTCTATAATTCCCCTTCACAAAGCAAAATGCAGCAAAAGCGAACATTTAGAGCTCCAAAAAAAAAAATACATTCCCAGAGAATGACTAACAAAGTACAATGGAAATATTTTACAGTGAAAGAACGTATGCAAACAAAACTACTAACCAAACCGGAAAAGTATTTTGTGCCCATACGAGCCGACGGTCAGTATAATTACATGCTCTGTCAAGTCCTTATTGCGCAGCCCCGTTAACCTCACTTCAGTTTATATGATGGAGTGAGGGGGTGGGGCATGCAGGGTCAGAAGCAACTGGATGACCGGATGCCGCAACAGACCAACTGGACACCAGATGCCGGATATTTATGTAACACACAGCTATTGTGAGAACCAAAATAAAACCACTGGACGCTTCAATTGGTGCATCCCTCCATCCATCCGTCTTCTGTAGCGCTTGTTCACAATCAGGTGGCACGTCTACTCGACACTCCATACCAGGGGTGTCAAACTCATTTTTGTCACGGGCCACTTTGGAGTTACGTCTTCCCCTCAGAGGGCCGAATAAATGTTTAATCATCACATCGTATTATGACTTGTACACAACAAATTGATGAATTACTCGTTTTGAAATCAGTCAACTATTTGTTTGCTTGTTCACTTATTGTGAGTGTAAATAGAGGATCAAAAAACTTATTGCAAGATCTCAGTGTTATTTATGACATATGACAATTTGACATTTCAGTACAGATTTTAGAAAGCATCGTGGAATTTGCCACACATGATCTGCTTTCGCGGGCCACATAAAATGACAAATATATAATTACACAGTGTCCCCTTGCTATTTACTAAAACTTTCCTACTATTTTTCGTTCTTCTCAGTCAGAACTGTGAAAAAAAAATATTGGAAATTTGTTTACATTAGACCTCATCGCCCCCAATATCTCTATTCAGAAATACACTATATGTGCACTGCTTCATGATTTATCTATTTTATTTTTATTTTAAAAATGGACAGTGCACAATAAAAAAGCATTTGCATGTAAATAGGAGAGATTATAGCAATCGGCTGGATTCCATTTGCAAGCCCTTGGCAGGTTCCGGTCAAATTCCAAGTATAAACACAGACAAAAAAAAATATGATAAGAAAAAAAAACACAACATAAATAATATAAAGTATGGACACAGATCATTCAGAAGTGGACGATCATCAGAGTTAGTGCGCAAAACAGAAAAATGCCGGTGACTATAATGTCAAGTGTTTTTATCGATAAAATATACTGTATTTGTCTCTTATGGGAAATTTGTCTTGGGCATCGAGAATGCAGCACTTCTGCTTTTCCGACAGCTGGTCTAACACAGTAGTTCTAAAACTGTTGAGGTGGGTCCAGGGACCTCGTACAGGGACGAAATTTTATCCAAGGACACCCTCATAAACCTAACGGCAATTGAACATAACTATCGTTGGAATTATTTTGGGGGGAAATTTTCAACTTAAATATTCATGGTGCGTTTATGAGAAAGGACTATTTAACCATCGTCCATGAACAGGAGAAGCTGGTGTACAAAAGCACATGTGTGGAAAACCTCGCAACTTTTCTGAGCCCCCTATAATGTCCGCCCCGCCGCCCCATAAAAAAAAAAAAAAAAAGCAAGTTAAATTAAGAAACAGACAACACGAGCAGAAACAATTTCACACTATATTCTGTTTGGCGATAGTCCGGTGGAAGGCAATTACTGAGTAGATCGCACTGAACATTGGCAAAGATATGGCGCCCATATATTTTGCAAAGTGATTGATCCACGTTGGAAAATTTTGACCTGAGGTATGTGCTTTCCAGGGACAAATAGTTTGCATGTTAGATTGCCTCGGCTGTACAACTCTGAGAAAAGAGTGTGAGAGAGCAAGAAGAGCTGCACGAAGGCACGTATGTGAAACTATATTTTAATTCCCAATCATATCAGAACGTTTCATTCGTCCAAAGTTAGGGTATAGGTAGGAATAAGTGGCTTGGTACGTGTTATGCAGTTTGTTAGTTTTTAATGATACGACATAATTTATTTTGATAAATTATTTAGTTCCAAATTACGGCTCACGGGTACCCAGCGATTTGTTTGAAAGCAGAAACACATCAACTGCAGCCATAATTATAGATATAATACAATAATGGATATTTTGGAAGAGTTATGCAGTGCTCAAGCTGGAAGTGGAACATTCCTGGTGGGATTTTCGGCAAAGAAAAATGCAATATCACATTTCCATAAACAAACATTCCAGCTTCCTGCTCTGTCCACTCTAGTGAGGAGCAGAATGGAGGAATCGTTTGGGGGAAAGTAGATCACTTACACAAGAATGGTCAACCAGCATTACCATGGCCGAGTCAAATCCGGACCATCGTGTGCGCGTGTGTGTGCATTATAATTAAAAACATTCCACAGTGACTGTCACAACACACACATCGTAAAACGTCGTCCTATAGTCAAGAGAGTTTTGAGGGAGACTCACCAACAAGCACGCACAGCACGTCCATAAGCACGTACAGCTTCTTCTTCACACTCTTCATGTTGCTTCGCCGTCGTTTCAAATTCACTTTCGGCGCATTGAGATGAAGAAACAAGCTCAAAAGGTACCCGTAAACACCTCCATTATGCTGGGCTTTGCTACATAACAACAAAAAACGTAACCTGCACTACGGGTTCTTCCGGGGTAGTCTCGCGTAATACCTGTGCGCGTGCACGCGCGTACACAAACACTAACGCGTGTTTGTGTCAAAAAGTGTGAAAAAAGTCGTAAAAAAATATATTAAGTGGAAAATATAGAAGGACTCCTGTTGGCGTTCTGGAATATTTCAAGAAAGAGTCCACACAGAGCATCCACGCGTCTTTCGAGTCCAAGCCACTGTGGGAAGGCACCGCACCGCACCGAAGAACCACACGGCGACACTGGGCACCTCCCCTTTTACTTCCCCATTAATCATGCTCGCTTTTCCCTCCCATTTTCCTATTTCCTGTCTTCCTTGAGGAAGAAAAGACGGAAGGAGGGCGCTGCTAATAATATAATAAAAATAGAATTAAATTACAAATAAGTAATAACTAGTCACAGAATGGACTCGCTGATACATAACACATTTTGAATGGTGGTTGTTGTTTTATGAATACGTTTCACATGAAAAATAAGATGACGTCAGGACAAGTTAACCCAACAAAAGGAGACGTTTTCGATTGAAGTGAGAAATTAATTGAATTCAATTTTTCTCAACTCACACTTTGCTGTATATTTAATATTAACATTTTTTATGGTTTATTTTTGAAAAAAAAAGAGAGGTGGAGTTGCGAATCTAACAGTATTTATATTGCGTTTTTGTGATCTGTAATTGTCCTTTTAAGTTCAGTATACTTTATATTTTAAATGACAAATGCAGGCAGTTGCTTTGAGGGCAAGAAGGAATGCAATTTTTACTTTCACTTTTACTTACATTTTAATACACATTCCGCTTCTGAAAAAAATGACTGAAAAGTGTATATCTTTATTCAAAAAAGAGTTGTCAAATTAATTGCAAAAAACAGTTTTGTCCATTTTGATCACGTGCACAGTATTAGATCCAAGTCTAGTGTAGTAGTTCTCATGGGTGACAATACACCAGCCTTTTTTTTTTAACCCATCAGGACTTTTCTGACACTAAAACAGCACATTAAACCAGTGAAATGACAAAGACCTACACCAAACAGGGAGTGTTCAAAATACGTACTTGTTGCTACAGTACTGGAACCTGTTTTGCACAGCAAAACTACATGTGCTTTCAATTTGCTTAGTTCAGGAAGCCCGAGCTTCTAATCACTCATATCAATTGCATTTCTGTCAAGACTTAAGCAAAATACAGCAAGTAGATAAACACATAATGTCGGGCAAGGAAAATATTACATTCATTCAGGGATTTCAGCGGAGGAAGCGTTTCTAATTTGTTTTCTGCCCCCTTCTGGTATTTTCGAGTAACAACAAGCTCCACAAATGTCATTTTGAGATAAAAATGTTGAAACTAATTCGCTCATAGTAGCATTTAAAATTTACTGTACTGTAACCATCTCCCTTACCAGTTGCTTGACTCGCATGCGCACCGGCTCGCACCACTTGCAAAATTCCTCTGAATAAACGCATTTCCTCTGAATGACACATTTATCTTTTTAATCTTAACTGTCTTCTTGCGAAAAATCTGGAATTACAATTGGCAAATCCTTTCCAATGAAACGAATGCGCCGTAAAGAGCGCTCTGTCTTCCATTTTGTCCAGCCTCTCGCTATTTGACAAAAAATTGACGATATTCCACACTTGTATCATTTAATCATTTATTATTGTCTTCTTTTTTTTTTTTACAAAATAGAATAATTATTAACAAACATCCCGAGCAGTACAATACATACATTGCAAAACAACAGGTGAAAATAAAAGAAACAGTTCTGCTCACATTGGGCCTCGTCTGTTACCTCCTTTGTGTAAATGCAACCATCCATCTGGCTTGTTTCGCTGCTGTCACAGGAATGAGCTCACACATGCACACGTAGCAAAGAAAAACAAATAAATAGAAGAAAAACAGGCAGAAAATGACAGTTGGTCATGCTAACAACCAACAAAGTAAAATAAAACATGAACGTGAGGGTCAGATAAAATAGGAACAAATCACTAAAATCAGTGTCAGTTGTTCTTGCAAAGCATAATACCAAATCATCATATGACCAAAAGTGGAGAAAAAAAAAATCCCAGGTGTGTGGTAATCACAATGAATGTCCTCAAATCTATCATCGATGATACCAGCCAAGTTTGTAACGCCACTATAATCTGTTTTAACCCTGCGTATAGTCTGAGATACTTATGTTCATACCTTGGGTTATATTCTGTGACAATCCAGTTCAACTCAGGGCATTTACTTGCACAGTCAATTTTAACCTTGGGTACAATCTCTATGGGTCCAGTTTACACCTTGGGATATATTCTGAACTAGATGAATCCCTAGTGTAGGTCCTGGGATAGATCAGTTCAACCCTGGCGGTAGTCTGGGCTGGTTATGTTTATATCCTGGGTAATAAATTGAGCCAATCTAGTTCAGTCCAAGCCATAAATTTGGCTAACCAAATTGATGACATAACTACAATGTAGGGTAGTGCAATTTAACTCTTGGTATTGTGTCAGAGAATCCATGAGATAGTCTGAGTTTATCCATGTCCAGGGGTATGTTCTGGGACAGTCTTGTTTACCCTGGGAAAATGCAATCCTGGGTATAGTCTGGGCCAGGAACATTTATACACTGAGTTATATATTGAGATCATCTCTTTTAACTCAGGTCATAAACTGGGCCAATCAAATTCATAACGTCCATCATACCTATAACCTGGGTTTGTCTGGTTTAACCCTGATTATTGTCTGGGAAAGCATAATTTGGATCTGTGTAGTTTATACCGCGGGTTATATTCTCTGGGCAAGAACCGTTTATTAACCAAGTTAAATACTATGGTAATCAAATTCATAATTTTCCAATCCACAAAAAAGTGTGCCCCTAAATTGATGATACAACAATACATGAATGTTTTTGTTAGGGAGAAAAAAAAGAGAAATAAAAATACGTTCCAATCACACCCACTAATTTTGTGGCACTCTGAATGCTCCTTTGTGACTGTTCCCGACACTTTCTCAACATACTCGGCGGGAATGTCCAAGCACCCAGAATTAATGTATGACTCAGTGATGTGGGGAAAAAAAAAAACAAAAACACCTTGTTGTGGACTACGACCTGATGATAATCTCAAAAGAATCTACAGATGTATCTGTTGTCTACGTAAGAACAGAGAAGACAAACGGAGAGTGGATGACGGAGCGGCGAGAGGACGTTTGTGTTGAAATAAAGTGATCTTTGTGTGAATGGACGTAGAGCAGCAACAAGCAGTGCTGAGCGTGCGTCACTCTTCCGGCTTCAAAGGAGCCGTGAGAGTATTCTGAAAATGTCTTTTTTTTTTGTCTTCGTTTGTTCTGCTTGCTTTCATCAGTCTAAGAACGCATCTCTATTCAAATAGGATGTTCCCAAGTGCTTTCAGTGAAGAGAGCGGAGGGCGTTAAATGCGGAGAAGCAGAAGAGGAGGCCATGAGGTGGGGAAGAGGAGGCATGCAGCAGGTCAAGTCCCACCTGCAGGCGACGGGGGAGTCAGTCATATCACCTGCTGCGCCACGGACCTCGGGGAGAAAAGGACTATCGTGCATGTGGAACTGGAAGACGCCCGGTGGGCGCTGATAGTCTTGGAGCTGAACCGGACCTGCGCCGCAGCCCGAGAAGCGCTCCCCCTGATCCGACGAGGCAGGCAGAGTGAAGGGGCGGGCAAACAGGTTCTGAGGACAGCTGTCACCGCGTGTCTGCAGTTCTCCATCTTGACATGTCAGAGGAGGAAAGATACCAAAATGTGAGTGATGTGGGGGGGAAAAAAAAAGCAGAGTGGCAGCCGCCGATGGACTTTCAGCCTTTTTTAGTGAACGGAACATTCAAACACACAAATGTAAAATGAAGACACTCACAAGGAGCATGGAGAAGACGACTCCAGTGCTCCTTTTCTTGATTAAAAACGTACAAGATTGAAGGCGTGACACGAGTATGAAACGTAATACTCAAGACTCACTGCTCACACCCCTATTGCTTGAAAAGTAATTGCCCCGACGCTGGCGCCGGTTACCTCATGATCTAAATGCAGAAAGCTGCTCGAGCTGTGTGACCACACACTACAGACATGCGATTGTCCCACTTGGGCAAGTTCTGTCTGCAAGGCACGGGCAATGGCCGGTACATCTCTAACAGTGCGAAAGGGGATACAGACACAATTCTAGTCCATCAGAGGATGTTCACCTCCATGGGAAAACGAGAATGAAAATAAGGTCAACATGCAGCACTGTGCCATGTTGTATGACTTCAACTTTGAATATCTTGATCAGGTGAACTTGGGTTTTTTGTTAGCTGCAAGCTATAAGATCTATTCATGAAAATGGTGACAAAAAAAATAAAATCCAGACAAATTTAACTCTCTGTAGTGAATCTCTATGCCAGTTCCAGCTTTTGAAAGAACATGTTCCAATATATTTGTCGCTTTCCATAATATTAAAATGTATTGAGATGCAATATTAGAGCAGCTCATCCCACACCTAAAGAGGAGGAAGAAGAAAATGAACAGGTGTCTTGTTCGAACTTTAGCGACGAGCTCGACACGCCTTCCTTGTTCTTTACCTGCAGGCTGCAGCCTGCTTTCTGTAGGCCAGGCCGCACCGAGGTCACGGCTTTAAGAGAAAGCGCGGGGTCCGTCTGCGCCGAGGGCGGCCTTCCTCCTCTGCAGCGTCGTGTCAAAAAGGGGTGAGCCATGCACACACGCACGTGCACGCACACACACACACACACAAAACAACAATGGGGAAAAGAAATGCATAAATGATTCAGAAAGGAAGACAGCAAATGCTTGATGTACAGAAAGAAATAAAAAAATCAAAACCGTTGTGATGCACAGCGATTTGATGCAATGTATCTGACATAGTATGTAAACGGTTTACATACTGTACAAAGTGAGTGGAGACAAAACATTTCAGACATTTTTTTTGTTCCCAAAACCACATACTGAAGTGTGTTTTAATGTTCCAGTCAAACCCTCTTTTCAACGTTTTCACCCCTGTAACGTTCACATTTCAAAGTCCCAATTTCACGTAATTCCTTTTCCATTTGCCGATTGTGCTTCCAGCGAACACCTTTATGACGTCAACTTAATTATGACATCGAATTAGTGAAAAGGCCTTCGACACAACGAATTGTGGGAAGCTAACTGCCGCCGCGACCTTGCCTATGAACAAAATGTACAGCGTGGGATTCCCCTCCGTTGCTTAGCAACGCTTACAGATCAACTCGTACATCGTTGTACTTCCGGAGGCGCTGCGCACATGGTCTCAGAACATGTCTGGTAAACGGAAGCAAATCTCGCTGTCTGTGATGCCTGAAATTGTCTCTCAACGTTCGATAGGTAGTATCCTAGACGAAGGTCAGCCGAGACTACGAATTGGCAAAGTTGACGATTTTGACAATCATCCATTATGGCAACAAAATCATGGCAGAATTCGAGGCCAACAGATTGAAAGATGATCGTCCTGAACTAGAGAAGAGGCACTTTTCATTTGCTGACTTTGCTGCCTGCTGATCATCTTGCCTTACTTCCACACGAATGAATACTTCCATCAATCCAATTTTGAATTTTCAGAGTTTTACCTTGTTTGTCCAGTTCCAGGCTCGACTGCCGAGGTAAAGGAGACGCCAGCTTTCCAGAGCCGGCGGGACTACCGCGAGACAGTAAAGCAGTGGAATTCTTGTTTCCCTCCCTCTCGCCAGCATACCCATCCTGGTCTCCCTCTTCCCTGTTGCACAAAAAAAGCAAAACGGTAAGTACGTCATTGTGACTGCTTGGCCTAGTCTCATCCAGGAGTGAATTTCAGAGTTCAGATAAAGGTGAAGTTACTTTGTATGAGGATGACAAGTAGTCGTTTCGTCCCAACTCACATGTTCCCTGACTGCAGGGTGTACTTCTTGCGAGTGATCCTGGTGGCTTGTTGAGTGAAGTACTCGTGCCTCTCGGACTTCTTCCACATGTAGTAGTACTCCACACACTCGCCCACAGAGCGGGTCCTTACCTGCGAAGGAGGAAGCCAGTTTTGTTATGCATAGTCAGAATGAGTAGGTGTTTTTGGGTTGTTGTTGTTTTTTTGGGGTTTTTTTTGGACAGTCATTTGGTGCTCGTGGCTAAATGCCAAAATAAACTAGAGCGAAATGCCAATGAGTTACTCTGCTCTGTTTGACGTGACATAGGCTCTAAGTGAATGCACAGACACTGTGCAAAAGGTGAAAGGACAAGTAAATGTCGGCACGAGAGCTCTGTAGATGTACTTGTGTGAACGCTACGGCCTGGAAAGCCAAGAATAAACATTTCTCGTCTTTGAGAAGCACATACCTTATTAGCCTGAATGAGGTGGAAGTTTTTCCCGTAAACTTTGTAGCCGAGCTCAAAATTCCGACACTCCTCTTCATTCCAGCCACACAGCTCTTCTAAACAAAGGGGATGGGCAACCAGCAAAATTGGATCGAGCAAAAACATTCAGCATCATAACGTGAACCAGTATTTATTTTTTCTTCACATGAGTATTAACTTGCTGTCTAGCTATACGAAATATAGACAAACAGCAAATCTTACCAGTGAACACTTTCACATTAAAGTGTAGTCGTCGCAGTGCCTCCTCCGCATTGAAGTTGCATTTCAGAAGCTCATACAGCGCCTGGTAGCATAGAAAAAACAACAAAGGCTGACCAAGATGCTTACCATAGGTAGAGCTATGCGTCAGTCTCTCAGTAAGCTTTCCTTATTTTGAAAAGGAAAGAAAGAATTAAAACTTCTACCATAGATAATCAACACATTTAAACGAGTGTTTGGGAAAGACAAGTCTCTGAAATCTCTGTGTTTTTTTTCTCATTCAAAGGATGGTTTGTGTAAACATACTGGCGATTCTGGACCGACAGATGTTGAGACAAATGTTGAAATTTTGTGAGTGTGTGAATCGATCTGATCGATTAATTCATGTTGATTTGTCTGGAGGATTTCTTAAATCTTTTTTTTTTTTTTTTTTAACAGCTTCTGTAGTACAAAGCGTGTAACCGCTGATGTGCACAGCTTATAGTAACAACATGGCTATTAATAGAGAGGAGCTATTTTACAAAAGCAATGGCGGATTATTACCCATTTAAACTAGTCATCAATATATTTACACAATTTTCCAAAAGCAACAAGCGGGTTAACTTTTTCCCTAAGAAAGGGCAATATAAATAAATGCATAAATAAACAAATATAATAAATAAATAAAAACATGTTTTTCTTACAGTGAAGAGTGAAAAAAACAATTAAAATCTGTTTTTGCAGGGCTCTAGACTGCCCCGTAGTGTTGGCGTGAATTTGAGGCAGTAAATTAACAATGTTCATCTCCACGCAAATAGGCCACCAGTAAATTGGCCAATGTTGTATTATTACAAAATGTTTGCTGTGGCTGACAAACTTCTGCTCCACAATTGAGCCCAGCTGTTGGCCACAATACACATAAATGAGCTGGTTTGCCAGCAGACGTTAACTCCAAAAGAAGAAGAAAGGAAAATTCTGTTTTCAGGACGAATGGCTGAGCATTATCGGTAATATAGTGAAAATAAACGGAAACATGAATATTATGCAAGTCGATTTATAGAGATTACGCCTCCGGTTTCTCCTTGTGCTCGTAACATTTTATAGTCGGGACCACTGTGCTTCTAGAAAAAAAAAAAAAGTTAGTCTGGAGCCCTGCCTCATTTTAATCACCCAGCCCTAATGTGAATATCCAAACAAATATTTACACGATGCGTGTTTATGAATGAACAGTCGGAAGCGGACATCGGGTGTACTAAAAAGTACCTGCTCGTTGTCTCGTACGTTGTCGGCACACGTTTGCTTGCAGACCGCCCCTTCTTGGCCACTTGGGCCCTGTACATTCAACAAGAAATGCTCCACTTCCAGCAGCGGCAGAGTACCTGGTCTCCACAACAACTGGTCTTCACCGTTGTACGCTGGACGCAGGGACGCCGGAGATGTAGAAAGAAAGATTTGCGAGCACGGCACATGTAAGTGGTTCCTACCTAGTTCCTGGTAGGTATAGGGACTGAGGGGTGGGATTATTGCCTGGTACGTGGAACCAACCATGATCTCCTGGTGAAGCACGTTAAAAGAAATCTGTCAGGCCGCCCGAATGATGCCAAAAATTGCATGGACGCCATCTTCCGGTGACTGACCTTGTGTTCTTCATTGGCGGGAAGGGAGATATCGTCGGAGTCGTCAGATGAGCAGACGGATGTGTCTTTGTTTCCAGCTGAGATTAAAAAAAAAAGAAGAAGAAGCCGCAACATTATCTTGAGTGATTATTTTTGCGCGGGGTGCGTTAACAGTGATTTTTCTCTCCCACTCTGCTCAGAAAACAGTCTGGGCTGACAATCGTCAATGTTAAAGTCTGTTTCTCAGCCTTACGAGCTGTTCTGATGAATGTTGTATACAGTATTAATGGTGCAGATCAGAATAGATCACGCCACGTGTAAACAGTTGACCGGAGATCTTTAGCTGGAATGATTTCAAATGGAATGACAAAAAAGTCTCCATGTAAACCCGTCTAGAAAAACAGACAGCATTCTTTGGGGTGTATGCCAGATGCGTTATTACTTGTACAACGCTGGATTCATCAAACACAGGCTGCATAATATATTGAACTTTAATCGTGAACACAATTTGTGCTGCCACGATTCAATTAACCTGATCGTCTGTGATTTTCATGCAGGCTTTGTTGCATATCTATTTAAGAACTTTTTCAACTAGTAGTCAGCAAACCACCAGCCGGGCAAACATATGATTAAGACTTTATGATTTTTTTTTTGGGGCAATATTCTGTGGTATTGGCCCAAAACAGTCTTAACTTAGCATTCTGGTGAATGCTGCGTTTGTGAAGTAAGACTGAAACAAATGAATCCACCTGTTTTCAGTTATCTCAGGAAGGGACATTTTATGCAGCACAGCCCCCCCTCGCTGTCAACTGAAATGGACACCAAAGTGACCGTAGGCTCGCAATCCAAAAGTCACGGTAAACAGGTAAGCCGTGACGTGATGTTTAATGTTGCTGTATGATTTAAACTAACAAAAACATTTAAGAACAATGAAATACATACACACACTTCACATTTAAAAAAACTGCTTGTTTGAGCCAGTGGATGGCGCAGCATCAGAACGGTTCCATTCTTGACTTCATTTGAGCCAAGGAAACACGGATGTGTGTGTACTCCTGTTTTACATTCTTGGGCCACAACATTAGGCAAAGGGCACTTTGCTGTTAAACTTACGAGGCAGCTGTTGGAGCAAATCTGAAGTGCTGGAAGTGACCGAGGGGGTGAGATCATCCGCTGATGACTCCACTCTCCCCGCTGCAGCAAAGATGTCCTCGGTCATCTGATTCTGGAGAAGACAAGAAATTTTAGAGCTGCAATATCAACAGTGATGTGCACGTGTGTGTTTTTAGTTGTGTTGGCCTGAGGAGGGCTGTCACCTTGGCCAGAGTCATGTCTGGCAGAGCGGCAGAGACATGGCAGCTCTGCTTGGCCGGGTCAGTCACTGTGTAGCCATACAGAGCCAGCAGCTCCTCCAAGGGTAGCTCACTGGCCTACAAAGTCCGACAATGAACCAGAATAGTGGGGCAGGGGGGGAATAACTCAATATGATTTGTTTAGCTGAATGGGAGCTACGTAAAAAGACTTGGGCGTACAGTCTGGGACTGGGCTGCCATCTTCTGGGGAAGAGGAGAGTCTCTCCTTCAACTCCAAAAAAGACGACTTCTCCTGCCCAGCGTCTTCATGGTCGTATCTCACGATCTCAAATGGGATGAAACCTCGGCGGCCAGGTCCACAGGCCCACGGCCCGCCTAAGGATAGACACAACACAATGCTAGAAAAAAAAAGTCTTTGGCAAGCATTACATGTGTAGTTGTCAGTCATGGGATCTCACAATTGACTAGGGCTGCAGATATTGATTAATTTTAAAATCAATTACTATAATGATTATCCCATTGATTAATTGTGTTTCAACAGGTCTTGTGTGATCATTAAGATGTTAACGATTAAAAAAAAAACAAAAAACGAACTATAGCAACGCCAGACCTCTTTTGGATTAGCCCACCGTGTCACAACAATGTGTACGATTTTGAAATGCCACGTTGCAAGCAGCTTGTGATTAATCAAACTGTCTTGCATGTTGAATCTACTACAAAGGGGATCGCAAAAGGGAGACAAGATGACAAATAGTTGAATTTAGAAGTAGAAGTGACGATGTAAGGTTACCCCCCCCACACACACACACACACACACACACACACACACACACACACACACACAATCACTAATAAATACAGCCACTACTCCT